GTCACTAAACTTCATTTATTTATTTAGCTTTTAATAAGTCTGGAGAGATTATTTATTCCTACACATAATAATAATATTATGGTATACATAAGTTCTTACAACCATCATGATGATGATGATGATGATGATGATGATGATTATGATGATGATGATGATGATAATAATAACAATGAAAATAAGAAGAAACAGAGCAACTGTAATGCATACCCACAATGGTCATGCCAGCATTTCTCATAGGCTTCCTCCACCTGAAGTTCCATTTCTCTCAGTTAAGAGTCTGTAAGGGACTTGTATGGCATAAATTTCACCAGAATTGCATACGGTTTTCGATTACGCAATTCATCAGCAATCATGAATACCAAAATATGGCTGGCAGCAGTACGCTTTTTGGTGAACAGATCCTTGAGATAGCTTAACATGTTCGACTTCAGTGATGTTAAATCTGTGAATGCACTGTCATTATCCATTTGCCTAAAAACACTCAACTGAACTTGAAAAGTTCTAACTTTTTTAATTAGTTCTTCAAAACCCACAACAGTCCAAGCCAATTCCATCATCGTTCGGTCTGATGACTGAGAACCTTCTACTGCCTTACTATACAATCCATTAGCAGCCTCTGCCCCTGATGTTAAAAATTCCAAGTCCTCCTCCATCTCTGTCTGCAACCTTTCCACATCTCTCTCAATCAACCCCGACCTGCCAGATGTACCCACTTTCTTCACAAAGGAACATCTTCTTATGTACTCAGCATACAACGCTTGCAATGACCCATCCCCCATATCCTCATCACCAGCCCAGATTCCACGCATACTTTCTGTCAAGTCCTTTCTCACGTCACAAGCATCAGCTTTTATCCACCACCTTCCCTGTGGGTTACATTCTTTGGCCTTCTTGAGTGCTTCCACCTAAATGTAACAAAAACTACAATCGTACAATTGTAATGTCGTTGGATAATAATGTTGTTGCTTTGTTATCTTGGCTGAACAGAACAAAACAATAGTGACCTGACAAAAAAGGCTCTTATAATATCATTGAGAGGGAACATTAGTAAAATAAATTAACGTATGTGTAGCATATATTATAAATCATATCATTCTTCACAAATCTGGATCATCCTTATACAAATTGGGTAACAAATTCACTTCTCTTGTAATCAGGTGCTACAGTGATTTTTTTTTAACCTCAAACCCTTAATCAAAATGATGAAGCAAAGAAAGGTAATAACAATGTCACTGTTTCTTTCCTCAAAAAAAAAAAAACAGCTTACTTGAATATCAACAGTTTTGGAGAATCCTGATGATGCAATATGCTTCTGGATCTGCCGTACCCCTAGGCTGGCAATGTTTACTTTGCTCTTTCAAAAAAAAAAAAAGAAAACAAAAACCTGGAATTTTTTACTGAATGTCAAGACTGACCACAACATATGTAGATGTTATTAAACCTAGACCTATCACACACAATTATTATCATACGCCTTTATGAGTTTTTTCAAATTACTCCATCATGTTCAGCTATAGTTTAAAAAAATTGTTCATCTTTCTTCATGTTAAGGGACTGACCAAAAAAAAAAGTAAAAGTTCCTTTTTTTTAAAAAAAAGTTGTTTTATAAAAAAATGCACATTTTTTTGTTCTGTTGTTATTATACGTATTATGGGGGAAAACAAATCATGAATATTATAGAAACCTTCAATGGATTGTACATTCCAGGACTTTGCTGTCCACTACTCATTGTGGGTTGGATCCCATGAAACTTTTCCATTCCTTGAGGGGTAACTACACCCAACTCTATCTTCTGTTGTTGATGCTGAGAAACATGAGTCCACAAATGCAGAACATTTACCACATCTTCAGGTTCCTGACCTTCAGTACTGCAACAGGAATCTTCTGACATTTCATTTGAGAGGTTTAGGTCATCTACTGACAATGAAGACTCTTGCAGAGAAATTTGGATGATGTCCTCTTCATCTAATGTACCTACAGAACTGGTGCTGCACTCATTATCCTGCAAGGGACTCTTAATGGTACTGTAAGTGTCCACATCATATTACCAAGCTGGTCCCCTATGAAGGCACAGCCACTTGTGGCCAAAATGTGAAAACATTGTTTCCAGCCATGAAGCATAGTGGTCTTCAATGCCAAGGTTCTGCGTACTACCCTTCGCAAAGAATCGGATGTTGTAATCTAACAAACCATAGGGCATTCTGTTAATTGGCATTCGTGGATTTGAATCTTGAAAACATTTACTAAGATAGTAAATCAAGTTGTGTTTATTGTTAGTGAACAATGTTTTCATGGCACTCAAACTTGATGGGAGGATATCTGCATTGACATATTTATAAAAGTCCAGTCCAACACTCTGGATAATGGTCACCTTGAGAAAATAAGAAATAGTCTGTGTTTGCAATCTCTGAGAAATTGCAGATTTGAAACATGCTATAAAATCATTAATCAACTCTCCAACATTGCTTGCCATTGGCCTTGCATCCTTTGATGGGGAGCAACTGAATATTGGTGAAAGTGGTTCATCTAGAGTAGTATCTCAAGATTTCTGAGGAGTGCTCTTGTGGTCTTCACTAAAATCAAACATGCTGTTGAAATAATCCACTTCAAGTGCCTCCTGTGCTTCTGACAATGACTTAAACTTTCTTGAAAGATGTTTTGTAACCCTTGTTCTACAAGAAGAACCTTAAAGGAATCATAATAACAAAAAAAGTATATACAGGCAAAAAGTCTTTGGAACAACATCATTATAATTCAACAAGGGTTAATATCCGCTTACTTAGTACAATTTCTCTGAATACTAATTTTTACAACAATTGACAATATTGCCAGATTATAGCAGAAAGATCCAATCAGATGATGCATTGTTTTGTAAATTTTAGACTAAACTCTTTACATGTCAACATACCCGTCCTTGAAGAATTACAAGCTTTATTCGCTGCATTAGCACACGCATCCCAAAACTCAGAGTCCCTATGCATCGGCCACTTGTCAGAAACCGCATCATCCCAAAACAGACAAATATATTGAACTAAAGCGGAGTTTTCTGCTTCAGACCATTCTCGTTTTCCTACTGCCCTGTTTAAGATGCATCCTTCTGAAAACACGGTTTTTCGCGATGACCTATCAGTGGAAGGTGTGGTCGAAGGGCGCTTCGTTTTCGGCTTCCCTGGCCTGTTCCCCTCAACATCAACAGGCCTCTTGGTTGCCATATTTACCTAAAAGTTAACCATGTTCAAACGGTTATATCTAAAGATGCACTGGGGAGCGTTGGGGAGCGTTTATATACCGGGTTGGAACCTTTATCAAAGAAGCCTTTTACACCTTTTTTATCACTCAAACTAACAGAGGTAAGAAATTCTAAGCTTTTAAGAAACCGAGTCAATTTCACAGTAAAATAGCGTAGATAAAATGGGCTATTAGAAACAAAAGTGCGTTTTTCGTTTGAACCCAAAAACCATGTTTTTTAACTGTTTGGAAGTTGAAAGACACATTTCGGCAAAAAAACGAAAGAGATACATTCTGTTTTAGGTCGAAAATGCTTGCCGAAACTCACCAACTTACCAAGTTTTCGCCGCCATCTTGTAAATTCTATATCCACAATGCATCGCAATCCCAGTGCGCACACCGCCTGGGCCTCGCCCGAGTTTAACGGCTGACCAAAGTGAAAATTGCACAAGGTCAGATATCGCGATTCCTTTGCACACTAATAATTAAAATGGGTCGTTCGAATCCATCTGGATTCGATGGAGGACTAATTCAAAAGCTTTTTTTAGTGTCTATCACTAAAGCGCATGGATTTATTCACATATGATTAACTACACCTACCGTAAGTTGAGGCTGGTTTCCTTGTAGCCGTCTCTTCAGCCAGTGTGTTTCTGTTGTGCGCATTTACTACATCTCTCAATGGAGGCCGATCATCGATTTATAAAGGAGCAGTTCAGATGTAAGCTGAAATCAAAAGGACGATAAGCAAAGGCCCTTTAAAAGGTGCCCATTGAAAGGTGGGGATGTTCTGGAAGAATAACCTTCAGTTCAATGTCTTATAGCATACGTTTGGAACATTGAGTTCGCCTATCACTTTCATATTTTTACACAACAAAAGCTTTCTGATGTTATTAGCGACGGTAAATGATTTGCTGAGGTGGAGTGTGATTTGGTCGAGTTAGGAATAAAATATTAATTAAGGCCTTCCATTAAATGTATAATAAACGAAATTTCGGTCAACTTCAGGCATGCAAACATTCCCATATTTTCCACGTAATGTTTAGTGCCTGTTTAGACGAGAAATATTTGTTTTAGGTCTGTTGTTTCAAACTTTGTTGTGCAAAAATCGCCTCTAAATCGTAATGATGCGTGACAAGTTCAGTAGTTAGCTACTCGAAGAACTACTCAGGTCACGCTCTTGTTTAAAAATGGCTCTCGTCAAGACACAAACAACTGCCAGCCAATAAACAATTGGTTCATACGTCAGCGAGCATTTATACGGATATGAAGTACGCGAGAAGTTTTGAGAGCACAAAAGCGATTTCTCGATTTTGCACTGGCCATGGGTACCCCATACGGCACAACTCGTAAAAATACTCAGCGATACTACACAACAAAACGTCTAATTAACAGTTATTCCACGAGCGCGCGTTGGATATGAGACGATAGATAGCCAACGAGGCGCGTAACGCCGAGTTGGCTATAATCATCTCATATCCAACAAGCACGAGTGGAACAATTGTTTTATTAAAAAAAAAACTCCCCCAGGATATTAGACAAATCTTCTCGACTTTAATTTGTAAGAAGAAACCGGATGTTACAATGTACAGATATTAGATTATGGTATATCGGCTCATATACGATAATGGCTAAGCCAATAAAAAGTCTTAAATTGCATCATCCAATGATCCAGATTTTAATAATAAGATATATCTATTCGAATATTGCGGTGAAATTGAGATGTGAGCATGTGCAAAAGTGCTCAGTCTCAGACCCATTTTATGCGATAACCGTGCTAAGACCTTTTGAATGGCTTCAAAATTACGTAATCGTAATTTTAAAAAATGAGTCTTGACCCATTGAACCCTATAGCTTTGGTATCTCAAAATAACCTTCAAAATAGCTTTAACATTCATCTTTTAAATTCTGTTGGTAACATTGATCATTATTAAAACGTCTCATAGTAACCGAGCCAAAGGTTGCAAATTTTGTGTGTTTTTGAGTGATTCCTTGGTATAAGCTTTTGTTAACGGTGAGTTTGATATGGTCAGCCCAATCTCGTTTGTTTTCTTCAAAAAATAAAAATAATCCTCAGCACTCTATTTGTGGTCAAGCATTATGCAGTGAAGAATATCTTCCCATCGAAAAACTATTTTTAAGGAGATCAGAGCTTGTTTGAAAATTTGCTCGTTGTTCCGGACAAATGACTCTAATTTGAGGGTTTCGAAAACATCACGAAGAGGAAGGTTTGATTGGGAACATAGTCTGAAAACTAATTCATCACAATACTTCTACATCGATTTGTGATGATGATTTATGAAATAAGTGGGTAGACTATTGTTAACCTTTGAAGGGTTGTTGGACCCGGTTGTTCATTCGCACACTCTTTATAGAGATAAACCACATTGAATCAACAATATTCAGACTTTTTCAAGTTATTGATGTTGGAATATGTTCACTCAACATGCTCTCTCTACTAATGTTTTACTGGTAGCAAAGGTGTAATGTAATATTATGTCATAAGAGGCGTGCGAGGAGCGAGTGCGTTTTGTGATAGAACCGCTATGGCGTATAGATTCACTCGCATATGATTAACTTTACTTACCTGCAATGGAGGCTTGTTGTTTGTAGCCCTATTCAGTCGGTTAGTTTATTTTCCTGGGCTTTTGCTACATTTTTAATGGAGGCTCGTCATCGATTTAAAGAGGAGCAAGGTATAAGTAGTGCTGGAGGTAAAGATCAGTAAGCAAATAGTCCATGAAAGGTGAGGATGTTCTGGAAGAATGAGTTGCTTATTGTTCGTCGCTCACGCACATAATTTTACAAAACGAAAGCTCTCAGAGCTGATTAACAACGGTTGCAGAGGTCGCGAGCTTAAGTAAATCTGTGACACCTGCGAATCCTTTAAGTAGCAGCGAAAAAAAAAAAGCAGATCTCTATTGATTTCTTTAGCTTGATTAGCTTGGACATAGTTAGTGGCTTGGATGATTTGGGATCAACCATTGGAACGATTAACGGTCAGTTGCCAGAGGTCTTTTGTTTTGCTTTCCAGCCTCGCCCGGGGTTAACGGCTGACCAAAGTAAACATTAAACAAGGTCAGAGATCGCGATTCCTTTGCACACTGATAATCAAGATAAGTCGCTCGAATCCATCTGGATTGGATGGAGGACTAATTCAAAAGGTTTTTTTTAGTGTCTATCACTAAACGAACAAGAAGTGATTTTGAAAAGCATTTAACAATAAAAAATTGCGATAAAACATTTCTTAAAATCATTTTAAGATTAAAAAAATTG